ACCCCACTTCTCAGAGGAGAGACTGAGGCACAAGCCAGAGTACTTCCTCAAGGTCTGATGGCAAGTCCATGGCAGAGCTGGGAATAGAGACCTGGATCCCACTCCCCTACTCGAACGGCAATGAGTCTGCGGGGTGGCTAAAGCTTTTCTTACCACGTGATTGGGATTATTCCCTGAGTATAGAAGCCATCGTTCTCAAGTCAGCCACCTCCCTTTGCTTGTCATGGAATCAGTTTCAGTCCTTGTCTTCTCTGCTTTTTCCTCTCAGCTGCTTGGAGCAAGGCACAGAACCTGCCAGTGCTCTGTGTAAAATCAGGCTGTGTTGTAATGAATCCAGAACCATCCAAGATGTCACAGCAGTGGCTTTGCTGCATGCTGAGTCTACTGGGAGCTTTTTAGGAAGAGAACTCTGACCTCCCTGCTCCAGCTGGGGATCATACAGTTAACTAAAAATAATCCCCATTAGCTGTTCATGAGTTTGAATCCCCATGTGGCCATAGGAAGAGAGGGGGGGCAGTGTAGATGCTGTGACCCACAGCTGACTGCTCTGAATGCCATGCAGCAGAGAGTGGTGATGCATGTATGTTTGCATCTGCAGTCTCTCTTTGCCTATCTAGTTAGTTTCAAGGTTGTTTCTACTACAATAGGCACAATCTCAGTTGGGACGACTAGGTTCTAACCCAGTGGTGCCCCAGGAAAAACACAGATCAGGCCGTTTCAATGGACATGGGAGATAAATGGTGTGAGAGGAAATGGAGGCTGTGGGAGGGGAGGAATCCCCTTGCCTGAGAGCACTTAGTATGCTAGTGGCAGGTCTGAATGTCAATCAAATGGCCTGTCCCACAGTATCATCACCCTTTGCAGTTCCCATTGTCCCCTTTAACTGCCCCCCCTGCCTTTCCCAAGCTCCTCTCACACCTGCTATGCCATTTGGCCATAACTAGTGTTGGAGGAGAGGGGAACAAGCTGGTGGAAGGATGAAAGGGGGCAGAGTTAAGGGTGTGTCTGGTGGTGTATGGTAGCTGTGGCAATGAGACAGTGCAAGTCTCCAGGTGAAGGTGTAGAATGGGGATAGGGAAGATTTTTTTTTTTTTAGGTGGGGGGGGGCCACTGACCCACAGAAAAATCAGGAGCCGCACTCAAGTGAGAAGCAGAAAAAAAACAACCAAAATTCTCACTGACGTGGCACCTGACTGAGAAGAAGTAAGACACTCCTCACATTTCCCTTGCTCAACAGAGCCTAGGGGGGCCCAGCCCTACGGAGGGGAGGCAGATGGGGTTGGAGCACCAGCGTGGGCTCCCAATGCTGGGGGAGCCCTGAGCCTTAGGGGCCTGGATCCAGGTAAGCTGGGAGCCACATCCAGCCCCTGGGCCTTAGGTTCCCCAGCCCTAGAGTAGAGGGTATATTTTACTAGGTGGCTGCGCCCCCTCGCTGTGTGTGTGTGTGTGTGTGTGTGTGTGTGTGTGTGTGTGTGTGTGTGTGAACCTCAGCTGCTTTGCAATGAAGCCGCCTTTATGGTGGTGGAGTCATGTTGGTCCCAGTCTATTAGCAAGATAAGGAGGGTGAAGCAGTAACTTTTACTGGGCCATTCTCTGTTGATGAGAGCTACCTAGAGTAGTTCTTCATGTCCGAGTGTGGTGTTCTCTTGACCATGGGGCCAGGCACCTGGCTGGGCCAGTGGTATTCTGTATGCTCATCGCTGACAATATTGAGACCTAGGAAGGAGTAAGCCTGAGGTCTCTCTCATACTTTGTCGGGTCAGAGGGGTTTCCACTCTGGCACAAGAGAATCCTGAGCCTTTGCTTGCATCATTATGATGCCTCACTCTGGCACCATCCCCTCATGCCGCTGAGGGCTTGAGACCGTTGGGATCTCTGTGCCTGTTTCAGGAAGGCGAGGCCTGGCTGCCATGTGATCAAGGGGAAACAAATGTGGAAATGAGACCGGGGAGAGGAAATGCTCTCAGCTAGGCATGTCCCAGATGGCACTGACTTTCAGGTGAAAGTCCCAAGCATTGATCAGCACTGGCAACCCAGCGCACATTCCTAGTGCCTTTCCATGGCACATCTCAAATTGCTCTGTGGGGCTGTAAAGGCGGAGTGGTTTTACTCCCTCCATTTCGCAGTCAGTCCCCTTGCTTGGTCAGGGTCACATAGAGCAGCTGCCTCAAACCAAACTCTTTCTACCAAGAGCTGGGGGCGGATTGACACACTTGGGTTTTCAGCCTTCAGCATGTGACTGGCCTACCTTTCCCCGGCCGCCAGTTCTGGGTATGATGTGGAGCGTGCATTGGAGGGTGGGGGATTCCGGTGAGGGGACCGGCTTGGTAGGAATTGCAGGGGGCTCCATGTACTTTCACGCCCGGCCTGGCCTCAGTCCCCTGGGAGTTGCTGAGCTCCGGAAAGTGAAAGCAGCAGAAGTTTAAAGTTCAGTCAGAATTGCTCTGGAAAGTCCCGTCTTATCTAGTGTGCATACCTGCTGAGGCGCAAGGCCCCGCCTGCAGCCCTGCTGAGCCCAGGGGGACTGGGAGGGACACAGTGGGAGCTGCCTCATGGAAACAGGGGCTGTCCCTGGTAAATGGGGGAAGGTGGCCCAGATGCAGGAGCCACCAGGGACCTTGTCTGTGCTGAGCTTTGGCAGGAAGTCTCCCAGGGCATTTTCCTGGGGAGCTGGGAATGGTGCAGTTGCTGGGTAAATGGGGCCCAGGCTCTTTAACTGCCATGTGGATCAAGCTACATGCAGCTCTGCCAATGCCCCTCTCTCCTGACCAGCAGCCCCCCTTTGCGCAGCGTTGTGCAATGGAAACTCTGCTTCTCTCCTTTCCCCGCTGACCACCAGTGGCTGCTTCCAGTCGGTATTCCCCTGGCTGAATGCCCCCTCCCCACACACGCAGCTGCCAGTTGCTCTTCCCCCTAGGCTGGGAGCTGTAGTTGTGCAGGGGGGCCCCTCCCCCACCCCCATTTGTTGCTCAAGCTGTGGGTGGCCACTCCTTCCCCCAGTGCAGCAGGGGAATTCCCCCGTGCCCATGTGACCCGGGGCTTCCCCTGGGGCAGTGCAGCACAGCACAACACAGACACTTGGCTTGGCTCTTCCTGATGTTCCTTCCACCCCAACTTAGGGAGGGTCCCCTGGTTGCAGACAGATCCGCACTTCTGTCCCTCCTCAGTGAGCTGATGTAGCACTGTGCCTCCACCCCCCCTCTGTGAGAGACTACCAGTCACACTGGCCACCAGGCCTGGTGTGCCATCCAGGGCACCTCTTGCTCCCCCTACCCCTGCGGGCCTCCAGGACTCTAGCCTTTATCCTACAGTCGTCTCCCACCATGAGGGGGCTGCTGGGTCGCGGTGCCCCCAGTGAGTGAGCAGCGCCCCTAATCTCCCCTGTGAACAGCAGCTTGTCTGGCCCATAGGGGCACGTGGTGGAAGCTGAGCCCAGGCGCAATGGAGCACGGCTGGCGCGGGCTGGGAAGTATGGGGAAGAGCTCACCTCCAGGGCTTTGGGACTCTCAGGGCTTGTTAGTGCCCCGGTCGCACCCCCCTTGCACCCTCTTTGCTCCCAACTGCACCCCGCTAGAAGATTGTGTCGTTGGCAGTGAGATTCCAAGCTGGCCATGCTGCCTTGCCCATTGCTGGGCTCCAGGCGCGGTTACAGGTGCCTAACAAAGTCCCCTTCCTCATAACTGCATCAGCCTGGTGCTCTGCTCCACAGGGAATGCAGAGTCCAGTTCAGGGGTCCTGCCGGGGTGTTCAAAGCCTTCCCGAGGTTGGGCCTGGCTCCCACAGCGAATCATCCCTCTCTGTGTGGGAGACTGAGCTCACGAAGGGCTGGCCTGAGGCTGGAACTGTTTCCCACAGGAGATAAGAGACCTTGCTGTAAGCAGAACAAATGCAAAACTTGCCTCCGACTTAGTCTATCACATACATGCAGCCACCCCCGCACACATCCTAGTGCCAGCCCAGTTCTCGGCCCGGCAGGGCCTTGTAGCCAGAGTGGTGGTGGTGTGTCAGTCTTTAGGTGCCTTGGAGGTGCTCAGACACCTGGCTCTGGGGGCCAGGTCTGGCTCAAGAGGGGGCTCAGAAGGGGGTTCATGGCTCTGCTTGGGGGTGGCTTTTAGCGCTGAAGTAACAGCAGGCTTTCTGTGCAGGACTGGAAATTCCCTTCAGGTCTCACTCTTGTTCTGACTGCTCGGGTGCGACAAGGACCAGTGTGAAACTCGCACGAGTGCGGCTCCGGGGCTCTCACACGTGTCTTGGCGTCTGGGGCCCTGGGCTCAATCTTCTGTGCAAATTTCTGTGGGAGCTGAGAGCTGGGCCCAGGTGGGGCAGCCAGCTCTAAGCAGGCAGTGGTAGGGGCTGAGTCCTGGGAGATGTGGTTCCATTCATCTGCCATGCACCCCCTAGCTTAGCACTGAGGGTGGGGGCTGGGAAGCCAGTTCTGTTTTTAATCTCTCCTCCTGTCGACCCTCACCCAGTTCATTCCCAGACCAGTCTGAGCTGGGGCAACCCACTCTTCCTCAGTGGATGCGGGTGTATTTCCAAGAATCCAGTTCTGGCTGCTGCCCTAGTCTGGAACTCCAGAAAATGTCAGGTGGTCTTCAGCTAATCTCCCAGATCCCTCCCCTTGCTGTGTCCCACGGCAGTGCTGCCTGCCCTTGAGCCAGGAAAGCAGAAGTGCTGTGGCGGGGAGGGGGGGAAAGAGAGAGTGGAATTCCCCTTGCAGCTGCTGGCCAGCACTAGGCTGCAGCATGTCCCTGGGCTTCCTAGACCTTCAGGTTTGGGTCCTGGCAGAAACAACTCTGCCCTTCCTGCTTCTGAGAGGCTAGGCTAAGTTGCTGGGTCTGGGTCTCAGGCTGACGCTAAAGGGTTGGGGGCTGCTGTAGCCTGGGCATGGAAGGGTTCCTCTTCCAGCTCCAGGGCTGGGGCGTGGGAACGTTTCTCTCTGTGGGGCAGTGGTGTGGGAGCTGCAGTACTGACCCATCTCCTCTTCCTCCTCTGTGCAGGCTGCTGCACCTGGCGATCATCCATAGCGTGCCAGCACTGGCATTCTGCTGCATCACCCAGCTGCCCAGGGAGGTGCTAGAGATCCAGAATGACTTGTTTCAGGTATGTGCTGGGGCAGGAGGGGGGAGTGCTCCAGTCCATGCTAACCCTCAGGAAGGGACCGGCAGAGGGACTATTCCTCACATACCCCATTCCCCCAGACTCTGACCTTGCTCCTCACATACCCCATGCCTAGACCTCCCAGGGGTCTGAAACACTCTCACCCCCAGGGTCAGCTGTAGGTGTTTGGGATGCCTTTACTCAAAGCAGTCCTGCAGGTACCTGCCTTTGGCTGGTGTGTGCGGTACCCAGAGAGGACTCTAAAAATGCAGGCACTCAAACTGGCACAGTACGCAGCCAGTTAGCAGAGATCCCAAGCCATCGTGAGCACCTTGTGGGGCCCCTGTGTCCTCCCAAAGCTGCCCGTGACCCTGGCTGTCTTGCTGCCCGCAGACCCCACTTCACCTGGCTGTGTACCTGGAGCAGCCCAATGTGGTAAGGGCGCTGATCCACAAGGGGGTCAGCCTGACCCTACAGGACCGCAACGGCAACACCCCTCTGCACGTGGCCTGCGAGCAGCAGAACGTGCAGTGTGCCAAGCAGCTTCTGGAGCCAGCCCCCGGGGAGAGCACGGAGCCTCAAAGGAGCCTGCAGGACCTGCAGCTCCAGAACTGGCAAGGTAAGGAGCAAGGCGGGGGGGTGGATCCAGTGCCCAGCTCTGTAGCTGCAGGGGAGGCATGGGGGTGGGGTGCTGCGCTCCACACTGAGATGCCCTGGGCACGTACCATCCTTTGGTGATTGTGCCTGGCAGTGTCCAGCGGGGCCCTGGTCTGCAGGTGGGGCTCCAAGCACTACAGGGATACAGTGCAGCAATAGCAGCCTCTGCGTCTCTTTGCTCCCCAGGCTTAGCCTGTCTGCACATCAGCACCTTGAAGGGGAATCAGCAGCTGATGGGACTGCTACTGCACAGTGGCGCGGATATCAACGTCCAGGTAGGACATGGGCTGGGGGGTGAGGGCAGCTGGCCTTGGCATTGCCAGCTGTACTGCTCTGTGCCCCTTTGCCAGGTCAGTGTCCGGAGGAGTCCCTCTGGCCTCCCAGGTCAGGGATGCTGGATGGTGCCAAGACTGGTTCTCTAGGCAGCAGTGGATTTGATGGGGCATGGGCCCTTGTGGGCACCAGGCTCCCAGGTGGAAGGTCCCAGCTACATGCCCCTACTCCCTGGAGCAGAGAGGCGAAACCTCTCCAGATCTGCCAGGAGTAGGCAGGGACCAGGGGCAGGGCCAGCAGGTTCCCTTCCGTCTGGGGGGCACGTGCCCATTGCGATGCAGGTTGTGCACCCCATCAGGGTTCTGCCCCATGGCCATATGCCCTGTGCTGGTGGCTGCAGGGGGCGAGAATGGGTCAGAGCAGGGCCCATTCTAACTCCTGTGCATGGTTGGTTCCAGGACGGCACAAGTGGGAAGACACCCCTGCACCTGGCAGTGGAGAGCCGTGACCGCAGGACAGTTAAGTACCTGCTCAGCAAGGGGGCCCACGTGGACGCCCCAATGTACAACGGCTGCACCCCACTGCACCTGGCCGTGGGCAGGAAAGATGCTACCATGGCTGCCATATTTTACCACTCCGGGGGTGACACCCTGCCG